TAGATAGATAGATAGATGATAGACACATTGACAGAAAGACAAGCACACCATTCCTATGTATGAATCTACCTTCTTTCTCTGTGTCAACCTCCATGTTGTTGTAGGGCAGCACCAAAGCAGTTACAATGTCCTAGAAACAATGCTTCTGTCTCGAAGATTCAGATTTTGTGTGTTTGTGTATTGCTCCCTTCTACTGACTGTCAATTAGTGGGGTGGCTTCCCACTGGTGGCTCACCACATCCCCTATCATTCTATTGTTCAATGCCAAAAAGCAGTTTCAGCTCCAGAAACCATCTTCCAACTTTAGGGAACTGTTTTCAAACTGCTCTAAATGACATCATTCTAAGGGATAAGCGGGCCCTTTTTACTCTCTGTTGGGAACTGTATAAGACCCTGCAAGGCTCTGTGTATTGTGGTGCTTCCTAACCAGTAACCTGGGCAACACTGGTGCACTGTACTTGGTTAGCAATATCCAGTCCAATATCCAGTCCAGTGGTCCAGTTGGTGCCATGCCAACAAAAGCATTTGTAGCACTTTCCAGCTATTGGAATATTGTTCTTTCTTTCTGTATGGACTTAAAAACTCTCTCTTTCCCAGGAGAATGCATTGCAGAATTTAACAACTACTCCGCTTATAAAACTGCAATTAATAGCAGCAAGCGGGAAGCATGTTACATTTGATAGACTCTGTGCCTATTGGAAAGAAGTCTTTTAATCTCTTTTTTTAACAATTTAAAGCAAGGCTTGCATTGATTAAGTCACTCAGACAGAGGCCTGAAGCTGGCAAGGCTCTTTCCCAGGATTTTGGCTCCCCAGGATAAGCAACACCAGTTTTTGGCTGCAGTTTGCCCCCTATTTTAATTTAAAAAAAAACCTACAGAATAGAAGAGAAAGACAAAATACAAAGACCTGAAAGTAGAAAAACTGCGGCAAAAGAAAGCAAAGATAGTGACCAATAATAATACTGCAATCCCAAAACTACTGGAGCACCACTTGAACACCATTGACATTGACAAATTCACCATCAATCAATTGCAGAAGGCAACTTTACTTAGAACAGCTCACATAGTAATAGCAATAGCACTTAGGCTTACTGTATATCCCACTGCACAGTACTTTACAGCCCTCTCTAAGTGATTTACAGTGTCAGAATGTTGGCCCCAACAATCTCTACCACAACTTAGATTGTGTAATTCAATTACACAATAGGTTCAGTTGGATTGTACCAATCATAATTGGGTTCAGTTATGGTTGTAAGTCAAAGACTACCTGTATTGTACAATTATATGGATTAGTAGAAAAAAGCTTCAAAATACCATAGCAATGCCAGCATCATATGACTACCTGTATTGTACAATTATATGGATTAGTAGAAAAGAGCTTCAAAAATACCATAGCAGTGCCAGCATCATATGAACTTGCAGCTGTTAATGATGTTTCTTAAGCTGAACAAGAAACATCATTAACAGCTGCAAGTTCATATGATGCTGGCATTGCTATGGTATTTTTGAAGCTCTTTTCTACTAATCCATATAATTGTTTGTTTTTTACATTTTCTACAAGTATAACTAAATGTTTGCTTAATCCTTTTGGTATTACACTGACACATTCGATATGACAATTGATGTTTTTTCCTCCATAAACTGTTGGTCTCAATTTATAAATCATGAGTTTTATCAACTGGTTTTTCATTTAACAGACTGAATCCCTTATGAGTCCCTGTGTGCCCACAAGTGATCTAAGTACAGCCCTCCCTGATTTTTCTCTCTGTCCTTAACTCCTGTAAATTTCCCTTGACTGTTGGTAGTTCAGATTCTTGGAGAGAACTTAAGCTTGCAATAAATCTTTGTCAACTCATAAAATATTTCTATGCTTGTTTATTTTACACCCATTTCAACTGTCTGAATTTCCTGATTTCCCTGGCGCTTGACAGTTTTGAAACATATAATTCCAGTGGGTTTTTAAAAATATATAAATTCCAATAAACAATTTTTAGCAGTCCTATTATGGTGCTATAAAACGAGCAATTTGACTATAGCCATTAATAAGATTGTCTGCAGTTTCATCCTTAATTTTACATCACTGACTTTGGCATTATCAAAAATACTGTAGGTTCATTTTTGGCTTTGATGTTTCAGTGTTACTTCCTATAATGACTTGTTGCATTACACTAGTGGACGACCCATAAACTGTAGCCTACTCTCAATATTGAGTTGCCTACTTGATCTGGTGGTGAAGCCCTGAAAGACACCCATCATAACTCTCTCTTTCCCCAGATTTAAGTTCCTTTCCTTTATTTGAAATCAATGGACTTCAAAGTGTATAACCTTTGGTAGATCGTGTCTCATATTTCTGGGTTCTTGTCTGTTCTTCTGGATAAATATCTGTAAGTGTTCACATTAGTAATTCTAATGCAAATAGAGAATAAGAGGTGATGACCTGCTTCGCTGATAAACACTTAAAGGTTATCTCGTAAAGATCACAAACATTTACTATTGTACACAATAGCTGTGCTAAGAATACACCCAGTGTGTTTTGTGAAAAAATCTCTAAGATCTGAAACTGCAGGGCATTTCATTCCATACCTTTTCAGCCTCTTATTTCTATTGTATGTGGTTCCTGGATGCTTCTTTTAGACGGCACAAATAATCAATATAAAACCATGAATAAAAATAACTTTCCCTTAAAATTGGATGCTAAAAGAACATACAGCTTTCCTTCTTAGCAGACAGGATCAAATTCTACTACACAACTCCTCTTTTTCTGTGAGTCCTGAAAATGAATATTTCAAAATAATGTGTGACGAGCATAAATAAATAAAAAAATATATGGGGGAAGGGGATCTCTGTTTTTTTTTTTTTTTGTTAGTCCCTTCCTAACTTATTGCCTCCTGGTTTTCATTTAGTTTCCAGCCTTCACAATAATAAATTGTTCAAATTTGGCCAAATGTGTATAAATGTTATCTTAGTAAATATTGGAATTATATTATACATTTTTAAATAAAAAAATATTTTTATATTTCAAAAACATCTCTTTTGGTGAACAGCGTGGTTCTAGGTTTTTATATTTCCATACAGAATTATATTATACATTGAATAGGGATTCTTGGGGAAAAACACAGACCCACATAGCAAAATTGTACAGTAGGAACATTGACCAATATTGTGACCTGGTACCATACAATATTGTGAAGCACAAGTGAAGAAATACATAATGAGATGACATTGAAATAAAAAGCTCCTTTTGTGTAAATCTGGAAAATAGTCTATCTAGCTCATCCACACGGTTCTAGCTAATCTGTACTAACCTGGGGAATTTAAATCTTGACTTAAATTATATGCCTTACCATTAAGTGGCCTTACCAGAGACAGCTGTTTGAAATGGGCAAACCTATAAATGAACAACTTTTGAATGAACAAATAAACAAACCTATGCTCCTTTGACTATGCACATATCCAGTTTGCCTCTATGTTGAAAAGTCATAAAGACATTTGGTTCATCTAAAAATTGTTGCTATTGAAACCTTCTAGCTAAGGAACTCTGGTACTTTTACAGGGATTTTGCCATATTTCTTATAGAAATTAACACCATAATCTCCTGGGCCATGTGCCTGATTCACTGTATCGAGAAACTTTAAGGATTCTTTCTAGATTTAGGGTGCTTATCTAAACATCACTGATGACGTTAGCAATGACTGTCAGGATCAACAGCAGCCCAAAATAGCTAAGCATGAAAAATTCAAATTCCTCCTCTGTTAATATGTGTATTTTTAGCTTCACAAAGAGAACAAAACTGAATTATATTTAATTTGTTCCATTAGCTAGATACTATGATTAAACTTGGGGTCAATTTGGCATTCCCCTTTCCTTACCTCCCCCACCTCCACTTTTAGTCACTTTCAAAATTCATTTTATTAATGAATTGAAGTTGGAAGAGGTAAAAACCTAATGCTTTTCACAAATTTGCCCTGCTGATCAAAATAATTAATGTTTACACATTTATTGCAAGGATGCAAACACCTTGAGAGATAACTTTTATATCTATCTCAGATCTAACATGTTACTTCACATTTCTCCAAAATAATAATTGTACAGTGGTACTCATCATTAATTGGTTCCGGGAGGTGTGATGACTACCAAAAATGATGAGTACCAAACAATTTTTCCCATAAGGAATAATATAATAAGTTACAAGGCAACCAGCACCAACAAGTTCTAGCTTGTGTGTTGAGTACCAAACAAACAATGAGTACCAGGACAAAATTTTCATGTCAAAATAGGTTGAGAACCAAATTGGGTACCAAATTACCACTGTATGTTGAATGAACTTGTTAATTGATGCCAACATGCCAAAAATATAACAAATATATACTTGTATGCTTGGAAACAAATACTTTTTAAAAACTGCAATCTTTGGGACATCCTTTTATTCAGATATACGTACAAAAGCAACAGGGGTTTCATTCATAACAGCAAAACTGGCCAGAGCACATCAAAACAAATACAACCAAAACAGTAAAACAAGAAAGCTTTTAGCAAAAATGGAGATGCTCCAAAATATACCAAGTATGTAGCCCATATCAAACAATATATATATAATTAATAAAACCTTGATCTTTCAGAAGAATGGTGGATAAAATTTAAATAAATGAATTAAAAAAACGTTTATTTGCTAAATATTTGGTATCTGAGAAAATATAAACTGGTCAACTTTTAAAATAAAATACACACATTATAGCATGAAGAAAGCATAATAGTTACAAAAAAAGAGATGTAGGTTGGAAAATTTAGATTTTTCTGAGGAATAAGAAATGATGACCAACATTGTTGTATTTGCTTTATTCTAGTTAGTCCTAGAAACTTAAGTTTATTTCTTGTGAGCCTTCTGAAAGCTTTTTTGGTTTGTTTTTATCAAACCTTATTCTCTGGTTTCTCAACATTTTAGGGTAATAATAGTAATAATGCTAATCTTAATAATTCCAGAAAAAACAAAGAAACTTACCTTCTTTCAGCAACACGGAAGTTGTTCTCTGATCATTTTCAAAGCTCTGTGTTCTAACTTTCCCTATGTCTGTCTCTGTTTCAGACATCTGTAGAATTGGAAAAAATTAAAAATATCAGCAAATAATTTGAAGTGTTTGACATTTGCCTATTTTGACTTCTCTGGGACCAAATTAACTTCTGACAACTTCATATCTGCCACTGAATTCTAATTATTGGGGTTTTCTCCAGGTTGGTTTTCATAGTTACTATTTTTATGGCTTTATCACTGCAGTTTCAAAAGTTGACCACATCTCATAGAACTAGATTTATGAGATGTTTGCTAAAGAAATAATGTATTAAAAATAGATTTTACATTACTGTATTCATTGGAATATCCTTTGCATCATCAAACATATGTACTTGGATGGTACAACATCAGTTTGAATGGCACAATATTTTACATTCTTACTCTGAAATAAGAACTTATAATTACTGCATTCAGTAAACTGTATTTAGGAAAGTGAGTACAGCAGTCTTGTCTAAAGTGCTTTATTTTGGATGAAAAAGCTCCTCTGATCAGTATCGACATTATGAGATGTTTCTGTCTTGTTAAATAACAAGTATTCATTTTTTTTACAAAAAAAAAAAATCAACATACTGCAAAATATCTTACCCTAAACCAAGATGCTTTTTATAGCTCTTTATTAATATTACATGTATTCTTCAACAGCAGTAGTATCAATTTTATGTTGAGATGTATTAATAATTCTTATGAGTTTATTGTAGCACAGAGATAAGCTGTGCTTGGGCAGGAGTTTTCCCTGTAGCTATTGAGTATGCTTATGAATAGCAATAATGCATCACATTCGAGCGCTCACAAATAAATATCAATAAAAGATAGTTCAGCAAAAGTGTAACCAAAATATTCTTTACTGCCCCTTCAACCCATTCATCTCTCCTAAAGAGAATTGTTGTCCACCAAAAGCATGCAAATTACAGTACCTGGGAGTATTATGTGTACATTAGCCTGCTGAGTAGTATGATATGGATTGCCTCTTCTAATTTGTTTCCACGAAATGATAGGGGAATATATATATATATATATATATATAAATATAAATATAAATATACTGGAATATCTTCTAACTGATGTTCATCTTCTCAGGACTGAGGTAGTTGAAATTTCCATTCCAAGCAAGGGAAACGAAGATTAGGAGATCCAATTAATATAGGTTTAGTTCTTCCTTCAGAGTCCCGGATTGTGTACCATCCAGCATTCCCTCACACTGACAAAACTGAAAGGATGAGTTAGGCATTCTCCCCTCCGCACTGACTTCCTGTGCTGTACAGTGCCAGATTTGACCAGGTGCCAGAAGCAGCCACATTAAGTGCTAAAATGATTTTTTTTTTAAAAAGAAAGAAAGAAATGGACAACATTTCTTATGGTAAGGGCTACAAAGTTGCGTGTTTGACAAAAAGAAAAAGCACAATTTTCTGTTCAAAAAAATATCTGCCTGACAATAATTTTGGATAAAGGATGAAATGAAGAGGCACCATCTGATTTGCTGTGCTTAAATCAAGATGGTATCTTCCTTTAGGGAAAAGCTCCGGAACAGAGAAAATAGCTGGGCTGTGGTTCTCCAAGAAATGACAGTCTTCCTTGGAATTGATTTGATGTCTCTCACAAATGGGAATAGGAATCACATGGACTTATTGAGTTACCCTTCCATATATATAAAAGAAACAACCCTTCCATTTATATAAAAGAAACAACCTCAATCCTTAGATCCTTCCTGCTTGCTATAGTGCTCTAGAATGGCAGACAGAATTCCCCCCCCCCCCCCCCCCCAGATTTTCTCCTGAACTACTAAAATACAGCCGAATTTCCCATCTCTAACTCTGACCTAAGGTTACATAGCATTGATTCACACATCTTCATTGTATTCTGTGGTTTGATAAACCTGTAATTGACTAGAAGCTCAAGACACTGGCACATCTCAAGAACGCTGAGCAGAAGTACGTTAATAATGTGAGTCATACCCTTCAGGTTTGCATGATCTCTGCACATATCTGAATAAATTCTGCCTGTTTATTCATGAGTGGGACTTCCCTGTGCACAGCAATGCAAAAGAGAAGGAGAGAGAGATGATGATCCTTGCCAAAATAGAAGTGGAAACTATCCATTGAAAAGTGAATTCAATGGTATCTTCCTGCAATGTTTACAAAAACCTAGCCAGCATTTGTCATCCAATATTGTATTCCAAGATTACAGTAGTGGGATTGTGGTGTGAAAAGAAGTGATGGTGGTAACAAGGTGGTAGGCCTACCCCTTAATGTAACCAAACTAAAATTCCATCAAAGCCACTATTGGTAACCCCTACTCTTGAGCTTAATGTGTGAAGGGAAAGGAGGCAGAGAAGTTATGGTAAGAGGAATTTATAGAGAATACAAAAAGCGAGGATTGGGTCAAGGGAATAGCTTGCACAACATCTGAGACTGCTGCTTCATGGTGCCATTGTGCTCCCAACCTGCATTTCGTCTCCCCCACCCAAGCTGCTTCTCAGCAAGCTAATGAAAGGAAGATCTGCAGCTAGATAGTTTTGTGTGAATTATGTATGGAGTCTGGTAAGGTCAAGGATTGGACATGCCTCTAGCAACTGAGGAACCAGAATCTCTTTAAACTGAACTTTGATCGGAGGCTTCCCAGTCCCATAGGGTCATTCTAATGCTTCTTCAAACTATCCAGGCTTTGAAAAAACATTATTTGGAAAACATAGTTGAATGGGTTTGACACTGCGTACGGTCCACTAAAAACTTGTAATATGCATGGGAGCATTTCTGGGTATGTATGTGTATACATAGACATAGAGAGACACAGATCTCCCCCATCCCACCCACCCCCAAAAAATCTTCCAAACTTTTTTTACAGCATACAAGGCAAAAACATTGAAAACAATGAGTTTGTATGTTAATAACCAACTGAATAGGAGTCTGCCTACTAAGCTGTTGGTGAACTTATGATTGAAAATGAGAGGATGAAAGTTCAGCTGGAAGGGACCCAATCCTTAACAATTTACAGTTCCAAATGTATTTGACTTTCTTATAAATCATACAAGGGCCTTGTAGAGCTGTGGTGGCACGGTGGTTAGAATGTAGTATTGCAGGCTAACTCAGCAGTCACTGCCAGGGGTTCGATTCTCATCAGCTCCATCCTTCTGAGGTCAGTAAAATAAGGACCCAGGTTGTTGGGGGCAATTTGCTGACTCTGTAAACCACTTAGAGAGTGCTGTAAAACAATACGAAGCAGTATATAAGTCTAATTGCTATTGTTTTTAATGAAATCATTTCTTACTTGTTAGGGTAATTTTCATTGTTTCATAAACTGATGCTCCCAGTTTCTCTCTCTATCTGTCTCTATCTCTCTTTCCATCTCTCTCTGTCTCTCTTTTTCTTGTCTCTTTCTGTCTCTCTCTCTCTCTCTCTCTCTCTCTCTCTTTCTAAGACTGGTCTCCTCTGTTCTCTGGCACTTTCATTGCTCATGTACATTGAATTACTAGCCATATTCAATCTGCTTAGCCTTGCAACCTCTTTGCACTCAACTGATGATGGATCAAATGCATATCCTATCATACTGAAGGAAAATTCCAGTTCTTCTTTGTAAAGGTGAATTCCAGAATGGTTCACTGTAGAATGAATTCAGTGGTATCTTTCTGCAATATTTACAAAATCTTATCCAGCATTTGTCACCCAATATAGTAATCCAAGATCTATGTACTTATTTTTGTCCAATAAATAATAATATATTCCTTTTTGTTATGACAGCAGCTTCTTCTGCTCTCCCATCATATGTCATTCTCGCTCACAGGAAAAAAAGTTTTTTATTGTACGAGTATGTGTGAGAGAGGATTAAAAAAAAAACCCTAATGGATAACCTACCATCTCTAGTTAATAGTGAATTGCATATGTGGCAAACAGATTAGAGTTGCTGAATTTAAAATATTTCATATAATTTTGGACAATTAATGTCAAGCAAGTCTATCTACCCCATTTCCATATTAATACATGTGCCTACAAGATTCATGCATATGTATTCTTTTCTCGTTCCTTGCTGATCCAATAAGAACAACCATTCATGTGAGTTAGAGGCCAACATTTGAGCCAAGTTAACTAATAACTTGATATTAAGCACACTTTCCAATAATTTGGTGGTTCTAAACGTGTTTACATTGAAGGATAATTTATTGATCCAGGATTCTTTTGCAGACAGTTCAGATGTCAGGATAAGATCAGATCTCTAGTTGTCAATGGATGAAAAGAAAAAACATCAGATATCATGTTAACCAATATTATTACTACATATAAAGTTTCTGATATGCATGTCCTCCAAAAGATAAAGCAGGCTGTTTCAGGAAGCAGAATTTCAAAAGCTAGGTGAAGAAAAACACTGGTATCTCAATGGTTCAGTCAACACATTTTAAAACACTAAAGGAAGGATTCAGTTAGATGTCCTACTTAAGTCTAGTAAAGTATTGTGGGCTTCCTTTTACTGAATGGCTTCAGATGTTTTTGTATGTAATACAATTGTTCTTGTTGCTTCCATGTCTTCTTCTTAGGGCTTATGGGATGTAGGCACCTTACCAGGGCCTAAACTTTTATTGCATTAAAATAGGTTTATTATTTTCATAGTACATTTGATATAAGAATTAACCAGACTTTTGGCCTGTAGCACCACAGTGATTGTGCAAAAGTCATGGATGAGTGTCCTATTGAGTCAATGATTCTGAAGAGTGTCCAGTGAGTCAATGACCCTGAAGAGGAATTATTCAGCGGACAGATAACAAAACTCTGTCATGATATTTTATGGGAAAGTATGATGAAAATCATTACTCACTGAGTAATGGAGGGAATAAAGGAATATGGATCCTGGAATTACAGTATTTTTTAAGCATTATGTAGACTGTAGGAACTTTTTAAGGAGTAGAAAGGATGAAAGTTCATGTTATTTAATTGTTGCCCTTTCATCTTAAAATCATAAGTAAATCCTTATGAGAGCTTTTGCATCCTGTCCTTTTTCATGCAATCTTTATTTCTTTAAATGCTTAGGACT